TTTTGAAAAACTCCAAATATTTCAGGCATAGAGAAAGCTGATGAAAACTCCCTTAAAATAACCCGATTAATCCAAAAACGCAGTAAAAAATATACCTTTCCATTTAAAATAAGAAAGTTGAGACCGACTTCCGGTATAAGCGGAAGTGCCGCCATCTTGAAAATATTTTCATTTAGGAGGACTTAATGGTTTATGGCTATGTACCAATTTTCAAATAAATACGATTATTCCAACTCCTAATACTTCTAAAGTTGGGTTTAGACGGAACACCCTGTATATTAAAAAAATAAATTGATTTGGTGCAAGAATCCCAAGTTAGAAAACGAGCCGTAGGCGAGCTTTCTATGGGATGATATAAAACGAGTATTTTATGCTATTTTTTCTAATTTGCGCCCCCTTTTTTCTTATTTTAATTAAAAAAAATTTGTCGTCTAGAGAATTTTATGTTGGTTGGTATCGGTTGGTAACATTCGGCGCCCACCTGATTTTTTCTGATTTCTGCCGTCTGTCATTAAAAATAAAATTTACAATTATTAGTTATTACAACATAATAATAATAAATAAAATATGAGCCAACAGAATTTAGTTTGCACTTAAAATTTGTTACCTGACAAGTCAGAAGCGGCATACAAAAACTAAATAACCCTAAATTCATGAAAGTACAGTGTGCTTTTATAGATAGCCATAAACGACTCCTACTGAGACGTTAATAAACGTATTTTAAACGCAAATTAGAAAAAAAAAACCTTACCGGTGAGCAAAACTCCTCAAATGCGGGTTTTACAAAATTCATATATTGGCACAAAACCTGCTCAAGATCTCGTCCACGTTCGTTAATATCTCTTGGAACTAAAAAAAGTTTGTGTTAATTAATGAAAGAATGACTTGAGGAGTCACCTCTTCTAGCCAATCTTGTATCAGAATCAGTGTCCACAAACAACTTCATGTGGAATAACTTCCTAACTTCAGGAAAATAAAACACCAAAATTCCTTCAAACAATACAACATCTGCAGGATAAATCGTAATAATTTCATCTTTGCGCCTGGAAAATCATTCAATGTGAAAATATTTGAGGTTATGTTTGACTTACAAGGAATGATTCTTGTAGTCATATGTCGGAATTTGCACAATTTTTCCTGCTAAAATATCCATCAAAGTCTCTTTCATTAAACTCTCGTTGAAAGCGTCAGGATGATCGAAATTAAACAACCCTTTTTCAGCCTTTTGTATCTCACTCGGGGTTAAATCTCTATAAAAACTATCCTGGGAAATGCAAACAACTTGTCTCTGTGTGTGGTCAACATCCACCTGTCCTAATTTTTCCATAATACGTTTACAAACGGTACTCTAAAAATGAAACGTAATTTAGGTGAATTTTTGCAATTTTTAAGTACCTTGCCACTAGCGGTACCACCTGAAACACCGATCAAAAACGGTGTTTTTCCATCTAACCCATTCACTTTTCCATTTATTTTCGCATCACACATTTTCAGACAAAATTTTCTACGAATCAATAATCAAACTAATCGTTTTTGGTAAACTCACCTGTTGTGCAAAATGTTGCGCATTTCATAATACTTTGCAAAGCAGAAAGCTGAAAGTTTCAACATGATTTGAGCCATTGCTTCAAAGAGGGCGCTTTAAAACAAAAGCCCAACAAACCTCCGAGCTTGCTTGATTGAAATTCAAAAGCAAAACAAAACTTTTATTCTACTGCTGATAACAAAGGACAACATATGAATTTAATTTCAAATAAAATAAAGGAAAAACGAAACATTTATGAAACTGAATAGAATGTTTCTTTTGTAGAGACAATAAAGTTTTTGAAATAGCTTATATCCAGAATAATAAGTTTCGGTTTGTTTTTATAGTTGTTGAAAAAGTGTTGAGAAGAGAATAAAAACAGTGTGTTTTTTTGTATGTAATGACAATGAACAAATACTATTAAATAACAATAATAAGTAAAGTAACTGAGTCCTGAATTAAATTTTATTTCGTTTTTTCTAAGTCGATTAATGGCAAAATAAAAAATCATCAAGTGAATTTTGCGGTAAAAGTTCATATTTGGACGCTATCCCGTAGCCAATCAGATGCGACCATTTTGACACATTAGGGGGTTGTACGACTTAAAATCTCTTTATTTTGGTAATGTAATAAGTGGAAAAAAACTTTAAAAACCTTTATCTCAATTTATAAAAACATGTACAAACTGCATTTTGAAAGTCTGCTCCTCAAGTGTAAAGAGCGCAAAAATAGTAACGTGAAATTGGGTAATATTCGAATTATAATTCTTTGTGACGTGGCGAATGGGCGAGATTACGCATTCCCGACACCGGAACTGTTACGAAATGGGTTTTTGTGCCATTTTTTTTGGAAATCAGTACAATAACAAATCAGCTCTCAACGAGTCACTTAAATTGTAATAATTATCCGAATAAATTATTTCTTATTTGGTGGTTCAATGCAGGTTGTGTATTTTCGAGTGCTTAATAGACATTTAGTAGAGCGCGATTTTTTAAATATTGTGTTAGCAAGTCAACAATATGTTTTACTTTTTGAGAAAATTCGCACTTAAATTTTATTTAATATTTTTAACTGATTTAATAACACACTAAATTGTAATGTATTTATGTGATATCACTGAAAAATGTTGAAACAGCATACGATCTACTGTGTATTCAACCTTCTAACGCGTCAATTGTACTTCTTTGTCTCTAGATTCTTTAAATTTAATTAAAACATTATAAAAAAATGTTTTCTCATTATCATTTATCACCTTTAAAATCCTGGTAATGTAAACAACAGCCGCATTATCGTTATACGATTTATGCAATCTATAAATCACTAAATTTTTTGACAGAAATGTAATGAATCACGTCTGGTTGAAATTATGCTTTAAACCGAAACATTTTCCCTTGTTCACATCAAAATGCGTCAAGTTGTGTGTGTGTGTTAACAGTAAATTAAAATTTTCGATTATAATATAACTGGCCATTTATGTACTGTTTCTTTCTCGAAATGGCTCATAAAGCTTGTTTCTGTTTCAAGATTAAATAAAATTCTTTATCGAAATGAATGCTTCTTAGTGCGGATAAATATAATCTTCTAATGTCTTCTCAACACGCATTTTATTTCGATAATGTGAAAAAGTACATGAAAATCAAGTAGAACGACTGTTTTTTCCTCAATTTAATTAGATTTCGTTGAGAAATGCGCCAACGTTGAATACTAATTGTAAATTAAGGTGACGTTAATGCTTATCTGTCGTTGTTAATTAAGAGAAATCCCGAATCGGTTCACCTGTTCCTGTTTCCCTCAAAAGAGATAAGATTTTACCTGATGCATCATCAAATTTTGTACATTACATCAAGTAAGTAGTTTCTCGAGATGGACTCTTTGAGATTATAAAACGAGTTTCGTTTCGTAAAAGTAAAAAAAAGTGATGAAAACCGAAAAAAAAATTAATTCTAATTTCATAATTTTAACTTATATTAGTGTCTTGGCATCCAGACTAAAACGCCATGAGACGAGACGTCTTTCAATTAAAATTCAAAGCACTCCAAGTCATGGAACTTGATATGTACATAATTTTTATCATATTTGGTTTTCCTGGTTGCTTTTTACCATTTTCAGTCAAATACCATACATGGAAGCACCGCATTTTATGTTTTATAATTTTAAATAATATTTATTTCAACTGAGTCTTGGAAACACCAATTTGAGTAGCAATTTTCATCCCCTAATTCAAGGGCGGATCCAGGGGAGGGCCCTCCCCCCCAACCAAAAGCTTCAATATTTTATATTTAAATTTTAATATAAAAACCTTATGACCTAAAGTTTTTTAAATAAAAACATTAGAATTCTTTTTAAATCACACTTATTAATACAAATCATACATATACC